CCAACAATAAAAAAAGAAAGAAAAAATTTTGAGTATGGAATAATTTTATATATAATATAAATAGGTAGAGATATACAGATATAGATGTATGCCTTAAATATTTTATGTTTACTGCAAATATAAAAAAGTGTATTCATTTGTCAAATTTTGATGCTGGACTATGGCCTTTTTTCTGAGTATGATTCTAATAATTTTCATACCCATTAAATATGGTCTATAATGTCCATTTTCAATTTATCTAAAATGAACTGAAAATTCTATAATATCTGCCAAGCAATCTGAATTCTATATGTTTATTATTTTTTCCTGTGGCCTTTCCCATGCCTTATTTAACATAAAAGTTTTTAATCCCTTTCTTTGTATGCTACTCCATAGACTTCTAAAAGGACTTGATATTCTATTCTGTAACGTGGRAAATGATTGCGGTCTTGAACAGAAAAATTTTATATGATCTGAAATATATTTTAATAGAATCACTCTAGCTGCTGTCTTTGAAAATGGATTATAATGGGGAGGAAACTTTTGTGCACTTTGTAATTATTTTAATGCAAAAACAAATGTAGTTCTCCTTCTGGTGTTTGCATTTTATTTTAACTCCAATAATAATAGTAAAACATGAAGGGATCTAGGAAAACCAAGAGAAATTTTTAAATAATAGTTCTTCAAACTGTTTAAGAAAGAAAAGACAAAGATAGAAAACCAGGTATAATTCCTAAGGAAGTTTTTTACACCCCTGCCCCCTATTGTTCTAATTAGACCTCAATTGCAGAGGCACATCAGGACCCCTAGGACTTATAAAAATAACATTACCTGTGCCCCATCCTAGATATACTAATGTGATTTGCCTGAAAATGGATTTTCTCTTCATTATTTAAAAAAAGCAACAACAACAACAACAAAAAGCAAGCAAGCAAGCAAAACACCAGGTATTTCTGATATGTACCTAGCATTGAAATCAATGATTTTCATGTTGTCTTAGGACTCCCTATGCTCAGATGGTCTTAGACAACTTGTGACTGAATTCCTCTGCCATCTAGGATAAAACTCTATCTGGCTGAAATGAAATTCAACATCTATAATCTTACTCTCCCAAGGAAAGCAGTGAAGGGTGGGATTATTATCAGACTGAATCTGAAGGCAGGTTATTTCTTTCATGTGGAGGTAAAAGTGATATTATTAGTTTTCCAGCTATCTTAAGATTTCTAAGGAGCTGTAAGTTGGGCAGAAGTCCTGACTGTGTTTCAAACCTTTTCTTAAAATTTTCCATAAAATAAAGGTCTATAAACAGTATCCCTCAGTATTCCTCAGGAATGGATCAAAACTGTCTCCAAAGAGAATATGCCTATGTCATCTGTTTCTCTGATAAATGGCTCACCACTGAAAATCATAACCCAAATTTATGATGGTGGTCTTATTATTATTATTATTAGTTGTTCAAAACATTATAAAGTTCTTGACATATCATATTTCATACATTTGATTCAAGCAGATTATGATGGTGGTCTTAAAAGCATCTAGTTTATAACTTGTTTTAGGCAGTCTGTATGATGGCCTTCAGTGATCCTCTTATGTTTGTACCCTTATGCCCTTGGGTAATACCGTCCCATAGGTGTAAACAAAGTAACATTGTATTTGAAATTTTTTTTTAACTGTAACTTCTATTTGGGGCACTCTCACTCTCTGGTTCCTTACTCTTCAGAATACTATTATAGGCAGTGCTATTGGAAACCCATACAGTGAAGAAATTATGTCTAGCCAATCATCAGTAAGGATCTGAGCTGAATCCCTCTTTGAATTGAGTGTTAAGATAGATGACTGCAGTCCTGGTTAAAAACTTGATTGCAATTTTATAAGGGATTACAATCAGAGATATTTAGCTGACCCATACCCAAGTTCCTGGACCACAAAATGGCTAAATGAAGTTTTAATTGTTATACAGCAATAAATAACTAATACAAGGCTGGATTCATCAAGAAAAAGGTTTGTCATCTTCAAGCTAAATATTATTATTTATCTGACATTTAAATTATTAGGATGTAGGTATTGATACTGTAAAAGAAAAAAAGTGTGTAGGCTCTCATATATTTGATGATGACGATTTGGAAAAGAGAACATAATAATCAGAAAATAAAAGGAAGTATAAGAGGTATCTTCTCAGGTAAAAGAAAATACCTGGTTGCCTGGAGGAAACATTTGAAAAAGGAAGAAATTGAAAATTGTTGGGAAGACTAGGATTTTATTATTTCTTTCTTCCTGTCAATTTTCTTGACAAACCAAAGTTGGAGGATAGGTGGGAGCATATGTGGAAACATGTCACTTTCATTGAAGGCAGCAGCCCTTGTATTAAATAAATATAGTAGAATATAATGGAATAAAATGGTTTAATAAAGAGAAGCCTGACAACAATGCTGAAACAGAAATGAAGTTTTAATTAACTATTTGATATGAAGATACACGTTAAAGACACAAACAAGAGAGATCAATTTATAGATATTTTCCCAAAACTGTTTTAGATGATCACAGAAGTGGTCAGAGTTGATAATCACCTGGTATGCATAGTTAGTCATAGTGGCCTTCATCCATTCTGATGATCAATGGTATATTCGAATTGAACAGGAACCACCCACACTGACTATTAAATGTTTTTAATATCACTTCTGGACATAGTGAAGTTAGATAAGTTTTGCATTCCTTGAGCACTGTGTTACTTAATTGTAAAGCTAGACTATATAAGATCTCTTGTATCTGATTTATCSCCAAGTATTGGAGTAGAGGTGTAAATAAAGCCTCATGATAAACCTTGTATGTCCTGAGTCTTTAATCTTGCTTACTGGTGTTAGTAGAAGACATTTTTATTTTAAAATAAATATGAACATATTTTGAAGTAATATGCAAAAATCACAGACATTTTAAGAGAAAAGATTTTCAGGAAACTTTCTGTCTTTGGTGAACTGTCTATATTATTCCCTAGATTATCACCCTATAATTCTTCTATTTATAGGTATTTTAATAGAAAATCTGAGGGTACAGCTTCAGGGTTTTGTATGTACAGAATTGCTTTTATCACAGCTAGACTGCATAGGCAGCCTTTATGTTCTTCGGCACTCTAAAAAATCAGAATCCTTTCTCTCTTGTCATTAAATCGCCAAATTTTATAACCAACTCAAAGGCTGCCAACTTTTATTATGACTTATCTATGGCATAATGTTTTAGTTCACTTAGTGCATTGAAAGTAACTTTTATTATTTATTTTATTAACATTTCATATTCTTTTAATTTTTTATTTCTTGTTTCTGGAAACCCATGTGTTTACCTAATTTTCTCTTTTAAAGAGCTTTGTAGAAAGGATTATGTTGCTTATAAGGATACTTTTCACAATGCTTTCCATTTATAAAAGAGATGTACATGAAAGTTGAATAGGAGTCAGAATTAAAAATTGCATCATTTGTTTTCTCCTTTTGGGTGAAATTATCACAGTATAGATGAATATTGTATATGAAGTAAATTACCAAATGGATCATAATTGTTTGCAAATGTAAAGATCATTTCTCAATAGAAATAAAAACTAAACAAAACCTGGAGGCCATGTGCTAATAATCATAATACTCTATGAGAAAGAAGTATATGCTAAGTAACCTAGACTCTTGTGACATTTCTGCATCTATCTGGGTATTTAAAAAAAAAAACTCATTTTCCTGATCTACAAATAACTAAGAAGGATGAAGTTCTCATGAAGTTTTTAAGATTCTATAACTCTAAATATATGTAATTAAAACAGATTTTATTTCCTAAAACTTTCATGATAAATGTGAAAATTAGAGCAAAAAAAAAACCAAGAATTAAAAGTAAAAGGTCTTAGAAAGATTATTTTAGATAACCTATACTACTAGAAATGGATTTACAACTATAGGTTTTGCCTAACTACATTGTGTATGTGTTTATATACTATTTCCATATAAGTCTCTGCATAATAATGTTTCACTTCAATTTTAAGTGAAGTATTCATTACAACTTTTCTTTGCTATTCAAACATTGACTTAATTCATACCAGAAAATCAATTATGGATAAACACTCTGCTAAGCACTAAGGAAACAAATACGAAAAATGTTAGTTCTCCTCTCCCCTCAATATGCTCACAAGATTTCAGCCACAGAAGCCTGATCTAAGGACCTAGATTAGTAAGGTCTTTAAATTATGTAGTAATAATTATGTAGCATCTTCCCAGAGTTTATCTGAGGAAGGGCAATTCTTCCTAGCTTCCTGAAGCCTTATCATGTAGGTAAAACATAAGAAAATCAAATGACTACTATTTCTCTTGACAAAACTTTTTCATATAACTCTCTTATTGATGTGTTACCAAATAATATTTTATATAATGTAAAGGGATTGAATGACAAACATTTTGAAATTAAAAGCACAACATAAAAAGTACTGCCAACATCTGCCAAAGGAAGAATTTTGAAATAGTTACTTGTCTTTCTGATAAGCCTGATATCTGTAGCCTCACCTCAAGCCCTCATGGTATTCTGGGGCTTGTATCCCTAACTGTATTCTGTTTTTGGATGGTGGATATTTCTAGAGGTTAGAAAATTAACTTTTAATAGACACAGTTTTTTTAATGATACAGTTCTACTCATGCACTCAAATATATTCTAACTTTAAAATTCTGTAACTGCTTTCATCTGTAATGATTTTMCTTATACGATCCAATTTAATTGGCGAGAGTGTTGTGGCAAAACATTTTTCACATATTTGTATTATTCCTTGTGAGACTTCTATTGTAAGAATTGCTGCAGGCTGTCATTTTTGTCTGCTATCCAGAATTTGCTGGCCCCAGTGTTGTGTACTAGTCTTGGTGTTGGTCACAGGGGGAGGGGAAATTTGCAGTTCAGCCAGACGCTTTTGTTATTCCTTTAAAATTAAAAGCATATGAAACAGATACAGCTTATTAAGGTTGTCTTTTATAAATAACATAAACTTAAATAACAAAACAATAAAGTTCAAATACAACTTAAAATAGAGTTTAATGCTGTAACCACAGAAAAAAAGCATGATTATTTATGGGGAGAACATTACTAAAAGTCATATTCCCAAATATGAATTGTACAAAAGATAGATTATGTTACTCGAAAAAATTTAAACATTTCTGAATTTTACTTCTAGGGATTATAAAATGTTATTTTGTGGCAAGTGAGATGAAATACAGTATTATCATCATTATTGCTATTTTATATACAAAATTTTTAAAAACATCCTTGTAGCAATAGCCTTTCAATTTGAGCAGCATTAAGAATTTTGTTCTTGTTAATAAGTACAAGCATGTTCTTAGCCAATAATTTTGTAAAATGGTCTATCTTATTCATTTCCATAATAGATTTTTTCTGATTAGAGCTTAAGTGGATTATAATTTTTCATTGGAAAGCATTTCAAATTACTGCTCATCTTCCTTAGTGTTGGATTGATTATCTGACAAATCATTTCAGCAGCCTTTAGGGTCTGACATATCTTATATAACATCATCTGCATTATTATTATTATAGCAGCCATTTTATAAGCAGAGAGGAATATTTAAATAATCATTATCAGATAATCAAATCTACCATACTCTTAAGGGTAAATTAATTTAAGAAGAACATTACTATTACTAACACCATGATTGTACAACCAGTTTTACAATTTTTTACAACTTTTATTACTAAATCTGATTTTTGTGTATATTTTTCAACTCTTTCTTTAATGCAGTCTCTTAAAATAAACATAAATGCGCAAGTCCAGCTTGATCAGTTTTTCAGTAGTTTTCCAGCCTTTCTTGGTTACTTCAAAAAAAAAAAAGGAAAGAAAGAAAAGAAAGAAAGAAAACAGTCCACTTAAAGAAATCTCCCTGCTGGAACTGGTTTCTTATATACCATATATGATTAGGTTATTGCCATAGGAAGAAAGTGGGCTGTTTTTTGTTCTTTCTTTGTCTTTTTCCCTCTTACAGGAACTCCCTTTTGATTCAAGGCAACAAACATTTCTCCTCCACTGTGTGTCCATTTAGCTGATGCATAAGTGTTGTAGTGGTTTTCCAGAATTAATTCTTTGAAGTTGCAGTCATCATTGCATTCTTTCTGTTAGAACAACAAACAACATATTTACATGAGTTTTTAAGTTGTTCAATTGAACAATAAGTAAATAGATAACATTTGGTAGGACTGAAGTATATATAACTTTTTTAACCTCAGATTGAGCAGGCCTAATATCGTTTATTAAATATATCTATATAGTATATTGACCCTCCAAAATCTTAAATCTAAAACAAAATAAAACAAAAAAAGATAATAATACATATTTAGTTATGCAACATGGTCTCAATAATGTCACTTTTTGGCAGTCACTTTCTACTGTTCTTTAATATTAGGACCTATTTCTCCTTAATTAATAGCTCTCATTTTCCTCCAACCACTGGAAATTTTGTGTAGTTAGTAGAGCCTCTGTCTCTCTTAGATGTAGGACCCATTTCATATCCTTTCCTTGTTTGCCACTACATTGTCTTCAATGGTAATAGGAAATAAAAAGTTAATTTGTTTGTTCATCTATGCAATCGTTCATTTAATCAATTAAACCTATATTACGTTTTTTGCTTGTGCCAGGCATTATGTTGGGCTATGGAAACACAAAGGAAAGTCAATTATACCTTATTACAGTGGCATGAACTGTTACATATTTTACATTGTAATAAAGTGGGAACAATGTGAATGCTTATAGTTCAGATCCCATGATTGTGAGATTGATGTTGATAAATGAACTGAACACTTCAGGATTTTTCTCCCAAGAATTTTCATGTCAGCAATGTGCAAATGGGTGAACTTTAACAAAAAGAGCTTTAACACTGAGAGATGGAAATTTTCAGTCTCAAGTATCTGAAATGCATGTGGAAGTATAGAACTGGAAGTATCCTTAGAGGTCAATTATTCCAACTCATTTTGCAGATGAAGAAACCAAAGTTCAGATAGCTTAAGCAAAGTCCAAGGTCACATAAATATGTTTTTTGTCACGCTTGGGCTTATAGCATTTTAAATTATTAAATTATACCATTAGAGAGAAATTAATTCTATTTTTACTTTTCAGAAAGGCAAGATGTTTTGATTAAAAACAAGTTTGAAAAATTAAGTCTAAATTATAAATTATAAATACCTTTGCATAAAGTTTTCCTTCCTTGTTCATTGCAAGATAGTATTCACTTTCCACCCCTTTGATTGCCACAATTCCAACCGCTACTGTCCTGATTTCCATGATATCTGCAAAAAGTCACAGAAAGATATATCAATTATTCACTCAACTTTGCAGATTATCCAAGAACAGTCATTATTTATGTTTTACCTGAAAGTTGTTGAGAGTATTACTATACTTGTTTCCTCAGCTCACATCCCCCTACCCTTTACACATACACACAAACACTAGTCACTTAATATGGGAAGTGTAAACTGATGCTTTTTATTTTTTAGATATCTGTGTTTGAAGAAATAGTTACATATTCAGACTTATTCTCTAGAACTACATTTCTAACTTAGTATAGGAAGAAAAAAAACTATTGTTTTTTTAAACTCCTACCACATGCCAAAGATTATTCTAGGGTCTTTAATGTCAACTCATGGAATCAACACAATAGTTGACAAAGCAGGTATTCTTGTTAACCCCATTTCACAGATCAGAAAACAAAGAGGCAGAACTAGACTTTGAACTCAGACAGTTTGGCTCTTAATCATAATGCAATACTATAAAAGTATATAATAAGCTAACATACATTTTTGTTCTTCTGTTTGGTTAAAATTCATCTTTTAATGATGGCAGAATAATTCTTAAATATAGAGAAAATGGATAAAATTCCAAGAGAAGCAATTATAAATGATAACAAACAAAGCCCATTGCTTTTTAAAAAGTTTTTGATATATGAAAAGACTAATTATAACAATTATTTATTCTGTGCATATAAACTTTTATAACTTTATTAATTAATTTTTAGATCTTCTTGAGATTCTTTTCATACAATATGCACTTACATAAGAATATTAACCTAGTTTCTTATATGTCTCCCTTAACATTATTTTTGATGACATAATTAATATAGTAAAATATTATAATGATGTAAATTAAAAGTTTAGTGAATCTTTTACATAACCTGTACTTTTTGCATAGGGATTCAGTCCTGAGACTTTCTCTTCACTGTGCCTAACAGATGGAAAGAATATTCTAAATGAAAATTATTTGTGTAAATTCTCCCCAACAGCTTTTTTCTGAAATATTCATGTAATTAACAGAAAATATTTTTCAGTACTAACTGTACTTCATCCTCTTATTTATTATTTTTGCTTCAGTTTTTTATCTGAATAATAATGCTGTTTATAACACAGAAGTTAATGTGGCTAACTACTTTTTGTCATCTGTTTCATAAATATGCTGCAAACAGAAGCCCTTTTCCCAATATTCTAGTCAAAGCTCATCCAGTTGTGAGTTTCACAGCTGCTCATCTAGAAACTGGGGTCTGTGAAGAAAATGCAAAATAATGGGTATTGATTTTATATATTTACAAACCATCATCAAATGCACAGAATCTAACATAATTTTAGGATATAAATTAAGAAAACAGCTCTGGTTTCTGAACTCCAGAAGGTAACACCTAATATAAACAGAAAACACATATATTAATATAAATAAAAGAGAAGAAAGCTTTTTAGAAGACAGGCTTGAAGAGGCTGTAGAAATTTTAGTAATCACAAGAACATTACAGAATGTGATGCTGATGTAGTCACACAACATTCAACAAAGCTTCACTGAGAGCCAATTCTATGTCAGGCTCAATTCAAAGATAAGCACTACCTTCTTAGAGACCTTTATCTGAAAACTCTAAATCTTCTTCATTTTCAATAAATCAAAATAAAGGGAAATAATATATCATACTTCAGAATCCCAGGAGGCTAAATTTGTACTTGTACAATGAGGAATACTCAGGAAATTTTTTGATTCAACATATGTCTTCAAAATTGAGTACATCTACTTAAGAACACAATACACAGTTTATAAGGATCTACCCATGTAAAAATTTTATGAAGTCAATGTTTTCCTTTACTTCAAGTCTCTTTACTCCTGCCATTCCTCTTTTTATTCAATATTATGTTTTATTCAGATAAAAAGGAGAATACTGATACAAAGCCTTAGAATACCTTTCATGATTGACCATAGTTAGAAAATGCAGTCTGTAATGTTTGCTGGCTTTTTTGTTTTTACAGAACAAATATTCACCAAATGTAACTATTGATGATAAAGTGTTGTCATCTGTTTCATATATATGCTGCAAATATACTTTGTGGACTCCTTCCCTTTTAGCTCAGGTCATAATAATATGCTTGTATTGCTCTACCCTCAAAAGCTTTTGCTCTATACCTTGCCTGTCCATTGCCCACTATTTCTACATTGCACTGATCATAAGTGATAAACTTTGCTAATCTTGCCCCCTCCATATATTAGGGTTAAAGATACAAAAACAATAAATCTTTATGAATATTTTCCCTTTAATTGGGATAAAAATAAACTTTTAAAAGGCTAGGTTCCTATACTCTTAATTACCTGATATATTTTTTTCAAAATTCCTTCACATTGGGAAATCAACATATCTAATTATCAAGAGTAAAGCATTAAGGCAGTATTGGCAGAATCAATACACTATCAACCCTGGTTTTCTAGTCTGTTTTGTCCCATGTACTATGTTCCTCTTTTATTCCAGAAAACTCAAAAATGAAAAAATTAACACAATCATTTTTGTTTAGGTAGAGTGGAAGTGATGTTCTCTTTAATATCCACAAATATCTGTTTTAGTAATAACTATGCAAAATTATGGAATTCTACATACACACCCCCCAATTCAGGAGTCAGTAAATTGCTCAGAAAATACAATATAAGAATATATAATGGCAAACAGTAAGTTAGCTACCAACATAAATAAATTATTACTTGGTTTGGGGGGATTTTTTTTTTTTTTTTTTGGTCCCAGGGATTTAACTCGGGAACACTTAGCCACTGAGCCACATCCCCAGCCCTATTTTATATTTTACTTAGAGACAGCGTCTCACTTAGTTGTTTAGCTCCTTGAAGTTTCTAAGGCTGAGTACATCTATTTAAGAACACAATATACGATTTATAAAGATCTTGTGATCCACCTGTCTCAGCCTCTCTAGCTGCTGGGATTACAGGCATGTACTACTATGCCTGGTTGGTCTTTTAATCTATAATATATCTGTTGTTTTATGTAAGATGGAAATGAGGGTTTGTCTTGTGTATCTCTATTTTTTATTTAAGAGAAGATTGTTTATATAAAAAGCATTCATAGGACATTTATTCCCAATGAGGTGAGGAATATTACATAGTGAATCAAATTGTTAATATAATGACTATAATAACCATAGTAGAGTTCAGAAGAGGGAGAGATCAACTCAAACACTAAAAAAAATGAAAATTGAGACAATATATGAAGCACATTGATCATTTATGTCTTCTCAACAATATGAATAGTATAAATTCATTATTTAGGATATCATTCTTAAAAATTGGTGAATATGCCCTAAATGTTTCCCTATTTACCCCCCTGTGGCTCAGTCATTCATGAATTAATTTAAACCCTTTGCCCATGTAATACTTAAAACTTTATCACACTTGCAATAAAATTGAGGAGCACTGGGGTAAGTTGTTATTACTTAAAAAATATTCTCCAAAATCTATTTCCAGAATTTTAGGTATTCCCCTAATCTTGTATTTTGGAAATTGATGCTAATTCTTTATCTTTATTACAAATAGCATTATGATTTTAATACTCTTTAATGTTCCTGTTTGAAAAGTTATTTTAATGCCTCATCACACAGAAATCCACCCCCTATTCCAGCATATTAATTATGTTTTTACTGAACCTTTTAAGCTTTATATAAATGGTCTCAAGGGAACATTATTAATATGGCTATGGTAACATAACTAAACATTACTTTAAAGCTGTAAAAAGTTGAGTTAATTAGAAAATTAAGCTAATTAGAACTTTTAATCTTGTCCTTGACCAAATTTACCTTCTTTGGGCACATTAAGAGTAGGAGCTGGTATCAACAACACCACCAAAAAACTCAAACAAACAAAACAATATTTCTTTCAAGCCTGGATTGTTGAGTGGAAAATCTTAATCATCATATATTTATATTATATTTAAGGCTAAAGATTTAATTCATTTTATATCATAAAATATATTTACATATATGCATGTATATAAAATGCATCCAGTATCTTTAAAGTATTAAAAAAACTCTTAAAATACAACAATTAAAAAAAATTGAAAAGTGGGTGAAGCATCTGAATAGACATCTTTACCAAATATGGTAAATAAGCATATGAAAAGATGCTCAATGTCATAAGCTAGTAGAAATTATAAATTAAAATGACAATGAAATATCACTATAAGACTGCTATAATAAGCCTGGTGTGGCAGCACAAATGAGTAGTCCCAATGACTGTGGAGGCTGAGGCAGGAGAATTATGAGTTCAAAGCTAGCCTCAGCAACAGCAAGTCTCTAAGCAACTCAGTGAAACCTTGTCTCTAAACAAAATACAAAAAAGGGCTGGGGGTGTGGCTCAGTGGTCTCTAGCAATTAGAGAAATGCAAATCAAAACTACTCTAAAATTTCATCCCACTCCAGTCAGAATGGCAGCTATTATGAATACAAACAACAATAAGTGTTGGCAAGGATGTGAGGAAAAAAGTACACTCATACACTGCTGGTGGGACTGCAAATTGGTGCAGCCAATATGGAAAGCAGTATGGAGATTTCTTGGAAAATTGGGAATGTAACCACCATTTGACCCARCTAGCCCTCTCCTCGGTCTATACCCAAAGGACTTAAAAACAGCATACTACAGGGGCACAGCCACATCAATGTTTATAGCAGGACAATTCACAATAGCTAAACTGTGGAACCAACCTAGATGCCCTTCAATAGATGAATGGATAAAAAAATGTGGCATACATACAAAATGGAATATTACTCAGCAATAAAAGAGAATAAAATCATAGCATTTGCAGGTAAATGGATGAAGTTAGAGAAGATAATGTTGGGTGAAGTTAGCCAATCCCAAAAGACCAAATGCAGAATGTTTTCTCTGATATAAGGAGGCTGATTCATAGTGGGATAGGAAGGGGTAGCATGGGAGGAATAGACAAACTCTAGATAGAGCAGAGTGGTTGGAGGAGAGAGAAAGAGATATGGGT